AATCGTAACGACAAACTTCAAAACTCCTTTCGTAACTCGAAAATTTGTCTTCAAACTAAAACACGATAAATTTCTCAACACCGTTTAACTGGTACAAGTTTATTATTAGATACGGAAAACTAATAGCGCATTCAGACTGAGTGCCCCGGCACGGACACCAATGTGAACACGACATTTGATGGTGCCTGAGTCAAAATGCCCAGTCTGGGCACCACGAAAAGGCAGCAACTCCAAGTACGGTTCTCAAGCACGGACACCAATGTGAACGACGACACCTGAGTAACATGTACAGAGACGCGTATTCAGCGTATGGTTTCAAAAGTTGTTAACAAATGAAAAACATGAAATTATAAATAGACGAATCTAGTGAGTACTACGTAGTGTGAACGGCCTGCAGATTTATGACCAAACCAGGGTATCGTACTCCGGCACTCAGTATGAACGCGCTATAATTGGAGTCGTAGAGTCTAGGATTGTACAAGGTAATATACTCGAGAAACAGGAAATAGAGGTTTGGGCTTGCACTTTCTGCGATCCTCCTCAGGGCAAAACAGTTCTTAGCTAACAAACCAACCGATTCAAACATTGTAACAAACAACTAAGTTATTGTGACATTGAATGATCGAACGCTGTAGTGTCGTTACATGTTCGAACATTTAATGTAGATTGTCCAGGTTAGTATAAAGTCCATTAAAATAACTTGGTGTTGATGTTGACTGACGTTTCGATAACCTTTTAAGCGATAGATACAGTCAGCGATAGCCATCTCTTAGTCACGTGACACAACGTCAACACCAATAGTCCTTCAGGACTCTCTGACCTGGACATCTAGGTCAGAGTAACCTGGTCGAAGGTATTGTATATAATGCTTGATACCTCACCAGTCATTGAAATTGTTCATTATTCAAAATAGAATGAACTCGACAATTCCTACGGTTTATTAGAAATGTAAAGTTTTTGGTTCAAACGTTCGAATGAGGCAAATCCCCAACTGTTGCTCTTCAACCTCACATGATTCCCTGATAAAACAGCAGACCATATTTTTTATACCTACATCTTGTCTTCAGTTACAATGATGTGGATCAATAGTAAATTTTTCGATTGTTACCAACATCCTCGTTGTACACTTGCGTACGACACTTTGATGAAGGAGCTGAAATTGCATTCATCAGAATTCGTAGTATGGGGCGTACTAAAGGGTTTAACATTAAGAGGACAGCTATCTTACCTTTTTAAGATTTTAATTCGATTCGAAAATAGCGAAGAGAGTTGACGGTAAAATGCTCTTGATCAAAGAAATGGCGAGTGTTTGAATGGGGTGGACTGGTGCCTAAAATGCAACATATGATCCAACGCGCATGGTTACTGCGTTTTTACAAAGGAGATGCATTTGCTCAGCTTAAGTAAGAAGTATAGAAAAATGAGCACGCATCTAGCCATTCCTCCACTTGCCAATATTCTAGGCTTTGTGTTCCTTCTCAGATACACCCTATAATCCCATCGTGTCAAAATATCACCCCGTGATCTCACTCATGTTTCAACACTACCTCAAGAATTTATCATCAGCCCAGTGAACTGTAACATCAACTGGAACGTTAAATAACACTGCCATCTTCCGTCATCTCCGAAACGAAGCTTGTTTTTCTGAGTTTTAGAAGTTTCAAGATATTATTCAGAAAATCAACAACGATCCACATAAATACAGTAGCACAATTTGTCAAAGTGAAGCACAATAAGATTTGTTAGGAAAACAAAAACTCAGATACAAATACATCTTAACTGGCTTCAAATGTCGTATTGGAGCTAGCATTAAAGTTAGCGTTCCAGTTTATACAGTTCACTGTGTTAGCTAAGTCAAGACATATTATAAATACTATAAAAACCTGGAAAGTCGGTCGCAAGGTCAATATCCTTTCACAGTATACTGTCGTCTTCAAACTTTTATATTTAAGCGAAGACTGGTCAAGAAATGTAAAATTCAACTCTGTTTCATCGTCACGTCTCTAGTATCCATTCTTGAATGCTACAATCAAGATGACACTTATCACGTGTCATCAACCAACGATATTACTGGCGCTAAAGCCATAAACAAATGGCTGTAAAATTTTGAGGTCCGAATAATCAATAACCTTACCCTGTTTGCGCTGGAAGAAGGTTTCGATTTCTTCAACGTGTTTTCTCCATCGGCAGGCCAGATTTAGGAAAAATGAAGTTATTGGTGGGTCGGATTGGTTACATGAATAATATTTAATATTTTAATCACAGATAGACGGATACAATCGGCGGGCCAGTCAAAATCCCTTCTGGTGGGAGTCGGACCCGGCCCGCGTGCCGTATGTTGCCTACCCTGTATTAGATCAATTCACATCCATACACCTCGAAAGCGGGTCCAGAGCAATATTGAAGGAAATCTTGCCCCGTATTAACGTTACATTTGTTTGAGCTATCGCATAAATTATGCCGTTTAATTCAAATTTATTCATTTTGTAATTTTAATTGGTAAATATCTCAAAAAGAAATGCCATAGCAAATGAGTCATTTACATCTTGGTAGTGTATCTTTTGCATATTTTGGTTTGCAGTTTTGCTTTTGTAAAAAGTTCTTCCTGCCAAAACGATAAAAATTTTATAAAACATGATATCAGAACAAAGTTGGAAGCCGTTCTTGCGAGCTCGAATAATGCAGAATAGCTGAATAAAACAGCTCGAACGGATGTGACGTATGCGGGATAGAGCTGTTCTTCGAAATTAAAGAGACCCATACAAGAAACATGCGTTTATCACGAAGGTTACATTAACAACAGACCGTAAAAGATCTGAAATAACCAACGTCGTATACATGTACTCATCCTTGCCTCAATAATCTCTTTCGTCCTTCTTTACATGTCAACTCTATGAAGCAAGAAGAATTTAATGTCCTCAGCAAAAAAACAGATGAAACCAGTAAAATTAACGATCACGTATTGTTACCAGATTCAAGTGTTTCCATCCTAGTTATTGCAGTCGATTTATCCTTGTTTCACAATTTGCCAGAACGACAGAGATTATTGAGGCAAGTTAAAGAAATCGACGTTCTCCTTTTCTTTTCAGGTTTGCTTCAAATTTCTCCTGCAATCTCCCGAGTTTAGCCTGGATTTCACGAAGCGCAGACCGCTTCTTCTCCAAACCCTAGTAGAGTGACGACGAACGTTTACAGCCTTCTAGTGATGACCTCATTTAGATTAACACGTCCCGAACATCGAATATAAAGGTCTCCGATGCGAAGAATCCTCAATTTTTAACGTCACCCTTGTGATAAAATTCAACATCAAACCGAACTAGAATTTGCTTGAAACCACTTTAGGATTTGATAAAACCGATGTACAGTTTGGTCGAAGGGATAAAAAGATTGGGCGAAACTGATAATTTGGTCAAGCTGATTTGAGATTTGGCCAAGGATTTGAGATCTGGTCAAAGCGATTCCGAATCTTTTCAAGGAACGATTAAACGTTCTTCCTTACGAAGACCCTGCATGTTGATCCAAATGTGTCCTTGTGTAATAAAACTGATGCCTGAAAGAACACAGTCAATTTGAAAGTAACGGAATTGACTTGATGAATTGAAATACTTGTACACAACTTTTATTTGCCCTCATATCCTACCCATAGCCATTAGCTAACTAGCCCCTCAGCAGCAGCCAAAGTTTCCTCTTTGGAGCTACCACTGGCAACCCTAAATAAACAGAAAAATCAACTCCATGTGAAACGAAAAATCCTCCTGTACGCTGTTAACCTCACAACACGTTCGAGAAATGAGAACATTTGCACATTTGAGAACTCTCCATCCCTCATTCCCCCGTTCACACCTTTCTGTCAAACTTATCCTCACTTCTTCCTCATAGTACCTCTACCATAGAACACCCTTCTTTCCCGCGTTTACCTTATAATAGACAGTGAATCACGGTGAATTGAAATGTAATTAAAAAAATTAAAGATGTTTCATTGTGTTTGTAAAAGGCATATGCAAAACTGAGGAGATTCATTGGTATAACTCGAGAGCAGATCTAGATGAAGCACTGATGTACAGTGGTGCATTGTGATGTATCTTTATGTATACTGATGTACAGTGATGCACTGTGATGTATCCTCAAGTAAAATGATGTACAGTGATGTACTGCGATGTATCCTTATGTAAACTAATACACCAACTTTAGAGCTCTCACAAACGTCTCAAAGGTTTGCATAAGCCAGAGCGCTAACAAAACAAAAATTTTTGATTTTTTCTATAAAATAACAACAATGCAAAACAAAAACAACTTAAAACAAACGCTTAAATTTTTCTCAGCAACATGTATTCATGGTCCATTTGCAAAATTTCTTTGATTAATTTTGATTGATTGAGCTCAGATCGAATGGAGCTCAGCATGCTTATGCAATCAGCGCATGCGTTGCATTGATTTTATTTTTATAATGAACATTGAATAACAAGTAATACTTCATTTACTTATCATAATTGATCCATCGCAATGACCATTTACACAAGCTCGGCAGCAGTGGACGAGTCTTGATCTTATCGACTGAATTCCGGATTCGAGGTGTACTTCTGACGGATGGTTTTCACAATGCTTGGTGCAATGCTATCCTATGTGGATATTTTCGTTTGAAATCTCTCAGAAAGAGTAAGCAAAGATAACATCATTAGAAAAAAGTGAGATCACCTTATCGTAAGTGTGTAGACTTTTTAGGAAGCTTATGTCACCAAAAATCGTCTTGGAAGGTCCCCAGAAGTCTTCGATCTTTTGCCTGAAATGAAAGTTCTATTCATGAAATTATTTATTTACATGGTTTAAATCCCTTCTGCAAAAAATCATCTATTTACACTTTTTATCAAGTTTTGCATACAAAAACACCTAGATGCTAGATTACACAGATGAGGAAAAAGCAATACATTGGTATCAATGTAAAGATAAAATTTGTTTTTACTTTGAAAACTGAAAATCACTCAAATAGTTCAATTGCATTCAAAACAGGTCAGGGAACTGAAGAGAAAGATAACGAAAAATGCAAGTGTATTTAGCCAAAATGGTTATAATTGTTTAATGATTGTTTTTGCATTATTACACAATACATCAATGCATCAAAATGTGCTAAAATCTACTACTATTTGAGGTGGCTCCAATTCTGAAACCAAAAAATAAAGAAGGTAAACAGTGCTTTGTATACAATACTGTTCTCATTCATATATGATATATGCCCATCAGCTTTCATGATACTTTGTCTTTCACCTGAGCCTTTCACCTGAATCTTTCAACCTGAATCTTTCACCATGAGTCTTTCACCATGAGTCTTTAACCTGAAATTTAATCATACACATAACAAATCAGCACCTAACAAACGATTTGTTTATGTAGAAAGCAATGTCAAGCAAAAAATTCATTTAAAGGCATGGTATAGTATATACATGTACTAATTGCCTTTTTGATGCAGCTGATAATTGCCATTGTTTTTCTTAATGAAGGAAGATGCTATAATTGTGGCCACAAAGGCTACAAAATGAATGAATGCGAGAAAAGTAATGAGAAAAATGAAATAACATTTTCATGGCCATTGTAATTGACAATTATATACTTTTTTTGTATAGAGTTTAATGGTATTAAAGAAGTTTGATTGACCTAGTGATAAAACATCAGCGTGTGATTAGATGGTTGAAAACTTCGTTGTATGCATTATTGTTAACAGAAATAAGCTTAATGACACAAACAAATAAAAGTGTTATGAACTACAACTCCTTTATGAATATTTAACAGGAAGACGTTGCTGGTTATATGCAAAAGATTGGGCCATATGCTTTCGCTATGTAGGGAAGCAAACTCACTAGTCAAAAACGTGCTGAACAATTGCAGCACCTGTACGATAAACCTTACAAGAAAATAAATTTTAAAATATTTTTTTCATATGAGTTATATTAACTGTTTGTTTACTGAAAAATTTTTGAAATGAGTTCTGACCGTTTTAGTAATTGGAAATCAGAAGTACTGATGGTAAAAATGGTTGAGCATAGACCAAAAATTGAAAAATATATTCCATGACAGGAAAATGTACCTAAATGTCACTGAAGATGTACCACATTTATATTCCAAAATTCTGATGACAATTCATCGCCATAACCTAAAATTTAAAAATAAACTGCAGGTGGAGGTGCATGTATGTTAAGCTTACATTCTTCTCTCCTGTAAGCAGCTGCCAAATTTATTATATACATTAAGATCAAAAGCTGTCAGTTTTCAAAAGCAAAGAAAATTATTTTATTTCGGCAAATTTTATTACCTGTTGTCAAAGGGATGTAATTTATCTAGTCTAACAAAATGTAGAAATTAAAATAGTTTGGGACTTGTGGGGAATGTACACCAATGATTTTCATTTTTGTTAACATTACATACTGTACTGGTTGACTGACATTTTTTTCCTGGATATCAAGATATTTCAGAATACAAGGGGGAAGGGTAAGATCTGACTTTTATAAGTTAGGAGGTCCAGGATTTGGCTTTTATAAGCAGGTGGGTTGAGCCCCTTCCCCTGCCTGACCTTGTGTTTCTTACAACCATACCTTTTACTGTTGAAATTATTGATTAGCCACAATGAAGTAAATATTCAGTATCATTTACTAGACATAATGAAATATATTATTTATGCATGTAGCTAGCGAAAAACATTTGGTCAAGTTCACGAGGCGCCACCATGGTTGGCGCCGAGCGAGAAATTTTCCGAATTTAGACTCCCTAGAACGTCGGAAACGGCAATCTTAGAAAGCAAATAAAGTGATATTTATGAGGAAATAGAACCATTTTGGTTAATTTAAATTGCCGAAGCATCTTATAGTAAAGCAGAGAAAGTTCAAAATAGCAAGGTAGATATGTGATTTATTTTCTCAACACCACATACATAAATAGATACCTATGTACATATTTCTTTTGTAAAGAAACTTTAACAAAAGAACCGAAAAGGCTCAGATTTGTCATCAACAATATCAAAAGTTGCATGAAATTGTCGTGCTGAAATGACAATCATCATTGACTGCATTAAAAGTTCCCGGAAAAAAATTCTCACATGCCATGGACGTAAGACATCATCAGCTTGTTATCAGCCATATGAATACCTATTTGTATAAGAAAGCAAAATCTTCGTGGTTTTTCCAATGAACTCTCTTTACTACTCATCATGCAATGTGTGGTCGTTTCTTTTCTCCTGACAGTATGTCTGTGAATGGAAAACTGCAAAGAGAACTAAACCTTGGCTCAAAGTATTTCTAAGATAATTTTTACCCTCTTCAAACATGAAAATGACCCTGAACTGTTAACTTGTAATTGACAAAACCCCATTTATCCTAACTTTCTGGAATACCAGATTGATACAATGGAATTAAAAAATTATTTCAATAATTCATCGCATCAATCACAGTGAAAGTCTTTATCTCTGTAAACAAAACAAAGTTGGCTTAACTAGCATTGGTATGTCAAACATATCACCATAAACCCTTTAGAAGATTTATCTTTTCTGAGGGCACTTCACCTTTCTACATCTTAAACACCCTAGGATTAACAAGGTCAAAATCTAAAACGCCCATATCCTGAAATCGCTCAGTCAGCATAGTCACAATTGTGTCAAGAATTTCAAAATACATTTGTTTGTAATTATGCTGCTGTCATACCTGTTACTGGTGGTCCCACTTTCTCAACAGCCAGGCTACACCTGACAATATTCTGTATCATTTCTCAGAGAAGCAACAAAGGCCTTGAATCTCTCAAACCTACTCATTCCATAATGAAAGTCAGTGTCCTTGTCTTGCAAGATAGAATAAAAGTACGGATGACTGCTCAAGAATCTCCGGACAAACATACCAAGAAACAAAACAAGAAGCCATTAAGGTAGCCAAGCAAACCAGTAACCTTTATTGGATTATCAGTAAGATTTTCAAATATGTCTATCAGTTTCTCATAGTTAGAATGCAATACATTGATGACATGAGTCTCTATAAATACCATCTTGTGTCACCAGGACTAGGGAAACTCAAGCCTATGGGATGATAGTAAAGCTTTTCTTTAGGGGAATTGCTAGTAAAGGTGCAGAAAGCACTAATATTAACAAAGAAAATCTTAACAGGTGAGATGGAGGACAGCCATATAATACTAGATTTAGTCTATGGGCAGCACAGTGAACAAATTGAGCATATGGGATAAATCCTGCTGAACTTGAGCTTGAACACCATTGAGATGACCAGACATACAGATGCACCATCATAAGTCTGTCCAATAAATTTCTTTTTCACATTATTATATTGACTTAACTTACCCTTAACCACTGATGATATAGCAGGTCAGTCCCATCACAACTAACATCAACAAACCCAAACTGTCTTTGAATGACGCTTTGTCCATTCGGAACAATTACACTCCAATTGTTCTTTGTGAAACATCAGTTGCTCCAATCAACCTGTATACTTAAGAAAGTGCAGCAATATATTTTAAAATCTCATCTCTATTATCTTATCAAGACACCAATCAAATCCTTCTGGATATAGGAGAGACTCCAGTAAACCGCCCTCCCCCAGCAAGGTGGGTTTCAGCAAGCCTTCCATGCAATCGCCTCAAAACAGAACCCATTTTGGCAAAACTTTCATAGGCTCTCTATAATTTCTATTCATGCTGCTACTAGATTCATCATGCCCCTAAATGCAAGCTCTTGCCTAGACAAGTATAAACAGCTTCTGTTATGGTTTTCAACATTTCCTGTTTTGCCTTACCTCCTCGTTATGACGCTGAATCTCTTCACGTCTAGTTTGTGACATGAGACAGTCGATACGAGGCTGAAAACCGTAGGTCTTCCAGGTCTTGTAGGCACCTATGTGCGATTTTGCCTTCTCATGCTTCTTACAATCGATAGGAAATTCTTTATGTTTTGAATCCCTGTCTGCGTCCATGAAGATGACGATCCAGGGCAAAAATAAAAGACAAGGCCAACAGAACAATGCATTCTTTTCTGAGCTACAAGAGTCAATCTTTCTTCGAGTACCAACTTGCCTGAAAGCTTCTATTGCCTGTAGTCGCTTGTAAATTTGGAATTGGCTGCTGCTTTACGAGTATATTTTTGTTGCCTGACTGTCGAATTGCTCGACTGACTGATTATTTAATTAGATAAGTTGTTTTACTCACCCAACAGCAAGATGTTCAGAGTTAGGACTGAGGCAGAGACATGTAACTTCGCTCTTGTTACCTTGTAAGACATTCACCTAGACATTTAGATAAGCATATCATAAAAACACATTTTAATAGTAGAAAATCTAACATTGTTTTGGTTTCAACAATTCTCTAATACTTTTCGCCAAGTCTAGCGTCCCAAATATATACATTTTCTTCTAGTGGGAACAATCGCGCGGCAAATTTCACGTCTTTTCTCGCCACTTTGAACAAGACACACATTAGCTCTAGCACTTCCCACTACGCCAAAGATTCCAGCTTCGACGTAACGCAGATAAGATTTTGTTAAGACCATTTTAAAGGAGAAAGAAGAGTCCTAAATAGTGGAAATTCATCTTGAGATACTACAAATTGTCACGATTTCCACGTTGGGATTTATGGCGTCAGATTTCCGCCAATATAGACCAGGAGGGGAAAGGGGGGTGTTGTCCAATGGTATCGTCCCACAGTGGGGGCGATGGTGCATGTTTTGTAGCACAGACGCTAGCATGGTAGTTATTTTTACACATTTTCAACAACATCATGAACAATTCTTACTACTATATAACACGTGAGCCAACGAGCTTCCAAACTGTATATGTGATTCATCGATATTTCTTTTGAACAAATCTTCAGCAGACTTTGTGTTATTAACGGATTGTTTTTGTATTGGAGCATGTTCCTCGTTAGAGTTTTTATCGTCGTCAACATGCTTGGAATCATTGGTGTTTTCATAGGTGAACGTGTTCTCATCCAAAACCCTCGAGCGTAGACTATGTGCTTCAATACGTTCAATTTCATCAAGCTATCTTTAAGCTGGCGCCGTCGTTTAAGCTGTCGCCGTCGTTTGCTGTTGTCGTCTCTGTCACTCTTTGATTTTGTTTCACTGTTGGAAGTTTCATTTTCCAGTATTTCTTCTATCAATCTTTGAATTGTAAATCTGTCATAAATGTTAGAGGATTTTATCCGCAAAATATGGAGATACAAAGTTTTGGAGAAAAAAATCTCTAACATTGTCACAGATATTACGAGTGGCGTAACAAAGTGTTTATGTGTTTGATATGCAATTGTTAAAACAATCTTAAGAAGACAAACAGCGCCAAAAATTTTATTGAAAATTGCTAAGCAAATTCATAAGCAACAATTTCAGAGCTTGCTCGGTCCAAATTAATTGAGAATTAATCTTAGCATGCGTAGTCTACTGCACCAACACTTCATCATGGTTATGGCAACGACCAACTGTATGTACTAGTACCGATTATGGAATAATTACCCATCTAACAAAATTTTAGATAAATCATCTGCGCATGCGTGATCTCAATGAGCATGCGTAGTCAACTTTACCATTCACCAAAGTTCATGGTCATGGCAACGACCAACTACATCTACTAGCACCACTTTTGAAGTAAATTGCACGCTTAGTAACAATATAATAGAGAAATCATCTGAGCATGCGCTGATGTTAACTAGCAGTGGAAGCTGGGTGCGATATAGTATGCAGTGGCTTAGGCCCAGATTCGGTCATGACCGCACTCTCCTGCGTACCCCAAGCAAAGCCTATCGCAGGTGATCTCGTGGTTTGATGGGCGGAAGCTTGCTATTGCATCTCCCAAGTAGGACAGCGTGGAGGGGCCGATATCTCACCAAAACGTTAACATGCGGCGTTCTAGTGCCTTACTTAAGAGGGTATCAAGCATGGACCGAAAACAGGTCTTTGCTTTTCAATTTATGTTTTGTTTACAAAATAAACCAATGTTCATAAAATAAACCAAGTAATGTTTCAATAACTTCTTCTGACACTGTGCCTTTTTCTTGCACTTATAATTTAAGACAACCTTAAACATGTTTTATACAATTTTTATTGGTTTATATCTTTCTGATTGAGCTCTCTCATTTACTGTTTCTCGCGTATCACGTGCAAACCATCCATGGCTACAGGACTGATAGGATTATCTGGTTCCTTAATTAACATGAGACATTCCAGTGCTCAAATATCTCGGGCAACGGGAGGCATAGAACAAAACGGGATTTTCATTTTTCAAAATTTATCTTTTCTTTAACATAATTCTTTCTCAAAAGGAAACTAGAACATCCAAAGATATTGCAAATTTTCAAACAATTTCTGCCTTTTGATTCATAACGTAAACCGACTCTAAGCATGTTCATACATTTTTACTTGTTACCTTTACAATGTAACTTCCTCAAAATCTCTCGTGATGAACGAGAGCCTCTTTATACAATATGACTCTCCCATAATGAAGAAAAGTATCCATGGGCTTCATGAAAGAAAGGATTATCTACTTTCAAGTTTCTACAAGATAACATTTAATAAGCCAAGAAATTTGTATCGTCTAAATTGAACCTCGCTTTGAACCATTATGTTATATAATTTTGATTAATTTTGGAAGATAAACTTTTCTTGCCTTACAATATTTTATGATCCAATCTAGAAAATAACTTCTTCTCGGGTAATTTTGCAATTAGACAGCACACTTTTCCACAATCTCACGATGAATCAACCACATTCTCTGTTGGTCCTTGTACTATTCCTCGTCAATGGCTATCCTTAGAACTCTTCTCACAATACTCCATCTATATATACAATTTGGCAGAGTGCACTTTGAATTTTCTTTGCAAATCTCTTGTGGTGATTGCTTCCTCTTCACTTTCGAAATCAGATTCCGTCGTTGTAAAGGAAAGATTCATGTAGTTATTTTACATATCTTTAACAACATCATGAACAGTTCCCAATCTCTACATACCACGTGAGCAAACGAAATTCAAATAGATTCAAATAGAAAGAATTACTTTGTTGTTAAACAAAATGCTTTGAATAATAACAATCGTCAAGCAAAAATCAGAAATATTGACTGAACCGAAAAACGATACCATGAGTTCCAAAAACTTGACGATAAAAGTGTAAAAGAAAATGAGACATGGTTGCCACAACAACGCGAACAGTTATCCTATTCAAGCATCTTTAGACTTTACTGTCATTCTTATCCTGCAAAGCCTATATTTCCAAATTTGAGTGTGTTTGATCAAAATAATGTTGTAAGTGAAGGCTACCTGAAACACCCTGAATCTCAGTTGAACTGTAGGGAGCTTCATTAAAGGAATGACAAATGAGTTTAAAATCCTCACTGGAAATCTTAGTTACCACCACATTACACCGCAGAGGTGATTTCCCGCAGTTTTGGCTTCATAAAAGGTAGCGTCCCAGTTGTATTTAGCTCAATGGCATGGTCTATAAGCTAGCTACACTACTTATCATTTTATAGCTATTGAACAAAATGGTTTGATACCGTTTTATCTATATATTGTGTTGCAAGTCGTCTATATAGCAAAACATATAAAATTTGCATTCCCATTCTATCATTTTGCTGCTATGAAAAGAATTCATTATTTCAACATTAGGGATTTTTCATTTGTAAGTGGGATTGTACGACACTATTTCAGCAATACTGCATTCCAACTCAATTGGAACAAAAGTTAACTAAAAGTTAGATCTGCAGTTGATGCACTTCGTATTGTTAGAAACAAATTTATCCATGATTGTAGTGGTAAAGTATCTGATTCCGAATTTGACAAAATGGTTTTATATTGAAAATCTTTCAAGATCTAGGATTTTCATTCAATGAAATTAATAAAATAAAAGACAACGAAACAAATTTAATTCTTTTCAAGTACTTTTGCAAACCAAATCATGGCATTGTTAAACTACAAAATTTACAATCAAACAGCAGATCTCAATAGCTTGTGCAGTACTAACAATAATAAACTGACATACTACTATATTTCTGGTAATCCTGGCAGTGGTAAATCTCAATTAGCTAGACAAATTTGCAACGAAATGTTTAACTCTGTTGACTGGGAAAATAAAACTACATTTGTGATGACACTCGAAGGAAAAGATGCTGAATCTCTCTTAAAAACTTATAATGACCTATGTCAACGTTTGAACATCCATGAACATTTTATTGAAAATGTTTTTAAAAATGTAAAAAGCAGCGAAGACAGAATAAAACACTTTCATTTCCTGCTGACACAAAAACTGAAATCTTGAGAATATGGTGGATTTGTTGTTGATAACGTGGTTGAACTGGATAAAATTTATCCATTATTACCTCAAGTTGGTGATCATAATTGGAAAATGGACAAATTATAGTAACTGTCCAAAATACCGATGCTATACCACCAGATGACAATTTAAACAAACACATTTCAATCAGTCATGGTATGAATGATAAAGAATGTCGTCAAATTCTATCTGTCTATTCCGATATTCATAATCATGATGAAGAGTTTTAAAGAATTTGTCAGAAAAATTAGATCGTCAACCATTGGTCCTGCAAGTGCTGCTTACTACGTAGGTAGTAAAATAGTGCAAATCTGAATTAATGTGGAGCAATATTTCGATAAGTTGACTGAAGGAGAGCGACAGAGCATGGATGCCACATTTCAAAAGATCAATACAGCATATTCTGGAGGTAAATCAACTATATTGAAAACTGTTGAGCTGCCAGTACAAAAAAGTACTCAAGAATCCATATTAATGGGAAAAGTTTTTGTCTTTTTCGATAATATCTTCGATCCGTTACCACAAGATATTATCATACAATTTATTAAAAGCACTGATCCACATACGTCTGCAGAAGATATATTCCCAATTAAACCATTGTTCGTTATTCCTTCAATCCGAAAACAATGACATCCGCCTGCACCGCGTTGTACATGAAGCCATCATAAATTATCAAATTTGGCAGACCTCTTGCAGTAAACAAAAGAAAATAATTCGACTAAGATGTTCTACTTGCGTGTCAAGTCGTTTGGGCACTCTATCATTTTGAAGACAGAGAAGATCAAATCAAAATAATTCCCCATCTAATTAAATTCATAACAAATTCATCATTTCAACATTTCCTAAATAAGTTGATCGATGTAAATCATCAAAACAAGAACTTGATGAAAGCAATTGGAAAATTGCTAATTACTTGCAAATGTATTAAAAATTTTACAACTTTAAACAGGCCATCAATGTACTTAAGGATATAACAACAATTCAAACTAGAGGTTAGGTGTTAATCATGTTGATGTTTCATATTCGTACAACGAGATGGGTTGGTTGCTTCGGGAGAATGGAGAGTACGAAAGCAAAAGATTTTCATGAACGAGCGATGAAAAAACAAAAAGCATTTCGACCTGACCATGTTAATATATAGGACAACGTACAACAATCTGGGTTTGTCTACAAAGATATGGGAGATACGAAAGCAAAATATTTTTATGAACGAGCGATGGAAATTACATGAAAGCATTTCGACTGACCATGTTAATATAGCGACAACGTACAACAATCTGGGTTTGGTCTACAAAGATATGGAGAGTACGAAAAGCAAAAGATTTTACGAACGAACAATAGAAATTTACACAAAAGCATTTGGACCTGACCATTTTATATTGCGACAACGTACAACAATCTGGGTTCTGTTTACAGAAATAAAGGAGAGTACAAAAAAGCAAAAGATTTTTATGAACGAGCGATGGAACTTTACATGAAAAGCATTTGAACCTGACCATGTTTATATTGCGACAACGTAACAGTCTGGGTTTGGTTCACAAAGATATGGGAGAGTACGAAAAGCAAAGATTTTTACGAACGAACAATAGAAATTTACACCAAAGCATTTGGACCTGACCATGTTTATATTGCGACAACGTACAACAATCTGGGTTTGTTCACAAAGATATGGAGAGTACGAAAAGCAAAAGATTTTTACGAACGAACATTAGAAATTTACACAAAAGCATTTGGACCTGATAATGTTTATATTGCGACAACGTACAACAATCTGGGTTCTGTTTACAGAAATAAAGGAGAGTACAAAAAAGCAAAAGATTTTTATGAACGAGCGAAGGAAATTTACATGAAAGCATTTGAACCTGACCATGTTTATATTGCAAGAACGTACAACAGTTTGGGTTTGGTTCACAAAGATATGGGAGAGTACGAAAAAGCAAAAGATTTTTACGAACGAACAATAGAAATTTACACCAAAGCATTTGGACCTGACCATGTTTATATTTGACAACGTACCACAATCTGGGTTCTGTTTACAGAAATAAAGGAGAGTACAAAAGCAAAAGATTTTATGAACGAGCGATGGAAATTGAAATGAAAGCATGTGGACCTGACCATGTTAATATTGCGACAACGTACAACAATCTGGGTTTAGTTCACAAATATATGGAGAAAAAAAGCAAAGATTTTTACGAACGAACAATAGAAATTTACACAAAAGCATTTGGACCTGACCATGTTATATGTTGCGACAACGTACAACAATCTGGGTTTGGTTCACAAAGATATGGAGAGTACGAAAAGCAAAAGATTTTTACAAACGAACATTAGAAATTTACACAAAAGCATTTGGACCTGATAATGTTAGTATCGCGAGAACTTACAACAATCTGGGTTTTGTTAACAGTAAAATAGGAGAGTACGAAAAAGCCAAACATTTTTGCATACAAGCGATGGAAATTCAAACGAAAGTATTTGGACCTGACCATGTTAATATCGCGACAACGTACAACAATCTGTTTGGTTTACAGTAAAATAGAGAGTACGAAAATGCCAAACATTTTGCATACGAGCAATGGAAATTCAAACGAAAGCATTTGGATCTGACCATGTTAGTATCGCGACAACCTACAACAATCTGGGGTTTACAGTGATATGGGAGAGTACGAAAAAGCAAAAGATATTTACGAACAAGCAATAGAAATTAAAACAAAAGCATTTGGACCTGATCATGTTAATATTGCAACAACGTACAACAATCTGGGTTTTGTTAACAGTAAAATAGGAGAGTACGAAAAAGCCAAACATTTTTGCATTCAAGCGATGGAAATTCAAAGGAAAGCATTTGGACCTGACCATGTTAATATCGCGACAACCAACAATCTGGTTTTGTTCACAGTAAGATAGGAGAGCACGAAAAAGCCAAACATTTTTGCATACGAGCGATGAAAATTCAAACGAGAGCATTTGGACCTGACCATGTTAATATCGTGACAACGTACAACAATCTGGGTTTGGTTTACATAGATATGGGAGAGACGAAAAGCAAAATTATGAACGAGCGATAGAAATTCAAACGAGCATTTGGACCTGACCATACGAAAACGTACAACAATCTGGGTTTTGTTTACAGTAAGATAGGAGAATACGAAAAAGCCAAACATTTTGTAAACAAGCGATGTAAGTTCAAAAAGCGTTTGGACCTGACCATGTTAATATCGCGACAACGTACAACAATCTGGGTTTCGTTTACAGTGATATGGGAGAGTACGAAAAGCAAATGATTTTACGAACGAACATTAGAAATTTACACAAAAGTATTTGGACCTGACCATGTTAGTATCATGCGAGAATACAACAATCTGGGTTTTGTTAACAGTAAAATAGGAGAGTACGAAAAGACAAACATTTTGCATACAAGCGATGGAAATTCAAACGAAAGCATTTGGACCTGACCATGTTAATATCGTGACAACGTACAACAATCTGGGTGGTTTACAGTGATATGGGAGAGTACAAAAGCAAAAGATTGTTATGAACGAGCAATACTAAAGAAATTAACTTTGAAGCTTTATGGCCTACTTAAATTACACGGCCTGATATCTTGCCACAGTCAAAAATGCAAGGCCATTGAATTTTCCGGCGTGCTCTTCGAAATTTTGATCTTCTTCCTTCAAAATTGTTCATTGGCTTTACTTTATGGTATAATCTTGTAGCTAAAAGTCTAGCGATCATTTCAAGAGTTTATTGGCTGAAATTGGTCCTTTTTCGCCGAGAAATCAAAGTTTATAAATTGGTGCGATCGGCGGTTGTTTTGTTTATCACGCGCTCGTCTTCGTTCGAAAATTTTAGCACTTAAATCTATCGTGGATTATCTATCTTTGGTATCTACGTGTTCCTGGTACTTCCCTCTACATTTCTACAAGATTTTGAGTCCGTGAATTAAAGAAAAATTTACACTAAAGTCCTAACAACAACAGTTGTATATAAAAAGTTTAAATATATTCTTGATAATATTCAATACAAACATTTGTATTTTCAAGTTTTCAATAGTCATTTAGTTACTGGAACAGTTTTTTGTTAGCTAAGAAACTTGTATGGAACTTTTACAGTATATGAGATTAGTACGTTTGCAATCTATCTAGTCTGAAGTTGTAAAGCTCCTTAAAATGAGTGAAATGTTTGTTGGGTCATTTTCATGAAAATAAATCCATCTTAGAAGAACCATGACAATTTTACATCCCTTTGTTGAATGCTGAAATGACCAGACTTTGTCATATGAGGATGCAGTTTTTTCTGTATTCATTTTGGTAACTCATAAAATACATTTTTTGTTTATATGTTTTGTAGATGGGTGAATTGCTTGATAATTGTTAATCGATTCATTATTTCTTCTTGTTTATAGTTGGAATTACTCCCCTACGTAATGTAATAACTTATTTTAATTCTATATTTTCATTCGATGGAGGTATTCACCGATAGTTGTGATGTTGAATTTGATGATCTCACTTTTATTTAAATTTAACTTTTCTGAAATCAGTTTGCAGTAGGATTATTTATGTAGCTGAGAGCTAGGATTAGACGCAAAAAAATGTATTTCAATGTCATAGAAGTAAAAGACTCCGATTGTCCTTGTCTGGCTAGCCCATTATTTAGTTATTAAAATACCAAGATCGAAATTCTTTTCTTTAGCTTTTAAGACTGATCCAGTATCAATAACTGCTGAATCATGCAAAATTTAAACGTCTGCTGATCACGAAAATTGTAATTTAAAGGGCACACGGGGATTTTCCTTGTCCCTCTAGGGGTACAGTTTGGGTTAGGGATCTTCGAAGATGGCTATAGACAGAAATCAACCGAAGCCATTGTGTACTTTTGAAGACAATCGTTTTAATTGTCAAAGTATCAACAACAAAATAACCTTCATCGAAATTTCCTCACAATTGTCTTCTTCTTTTTTCGTATTTGTCTCAGTCTCTCGCGTGTTTCGCCAAAGAAGGTGACGTCACGATTCTCAAGCTGTCTTTGAATAAACTGTAGTCCCGCCAAATTGAATCCAACAGTATCCTAAAGATAAAGCAATCATTGCAAGTGTGCCATAGTTTTATCGGCGTCGATGTAAAAATTCAAGAAAATTTATTCATTTCATATAATTGCAAAAGTCATCTGTGGCAGTTTGAAGTACACAATTCAAAAACTCAAGACGACTAATTTAGCAAAAATTAAAAAACTAGAGAAAAATGAAATCTTCATACTCTTGAATATTTTTGTTTCTAAATACATACTTTTTTCTCTTCTTAATACACAAAAGAATATTCTATGAATCTTTTTAATACAAAGCCAAACTCAGTATTAAGATTGGCACTGTAATGTGAAAGAAAGCCTTAATTGCTCTTAACCAATCAAAATAGACGACTTTTTCGTGTTAAGCTTACAGTCATTAAAGTGTCGACAAAATTTACCACGAATAAATTAACGTACGTTCGTGTAGCGCATGGTAAAATTACGGGAGAAATTTGGCGATACTTGCGTTTTCATAAACGTACAACTTCCTACCTTCATTTCGCGAACTCGGCTACGACAATGTGATCTGATAGAGTCTATTACTGGCAGTAGTTCAGGAATGGATATGATCTTGTTGTGATGTATTCTATCGTAACAAAATATGAAAAAAAATGAAAAATATCCAGCATTGTACATAGGTATCTCGCCAATTGTATCATATATTCAGCAATACTGAAGGAACGTGATGAAATTCTTAGGGAATGATTTAAAGACAGACATATTGAAAAAATATCGATCGAAACCAAAAACAAAATTACGTCTTAATCTTACCGCAGCAGAAAGAACAAACATCGACAACTTAACTCTGTTTCCCAACCATTCTAAACAATCACGTACATCTGGGATTAGCAAAATTTGAAAAGGAAACCTGTACCTTGTGAACTAATGACGCACGAGTCAAAATACATTTCACTTCACCTTAATCCACTCAAGAAGAAGTTTCAGTACATCAATAACATAGTCAAACGGTAACACAAGCAACGATTCTTCAAGTTCACTGAAATTAAATAATTTAAATGTTTTGTAGAAAAACACTTGCTTCATAAGATACCTCTCTACTGCATTCAAAGAACACTTGATATTTAATTCCTTTAGTAACTCCAACGAGACACTTTGCCATAGTTAACGTTTAAAATGCTCTAAATTAACTTTTAGTACAAACAACGATTCTTCACGGGATAATTTGCTGCTCTTTATAATACTTCAACCTTACCTTGATTTTACTTTTTTCACCACTAGAAGTACGTACTGTACAGGCTGTGAGAAGAAAAAATATTTTACAAACGTCGTAAGTTTATGGTCCGGGAAAAGGAGGTTGACATAGACAGGCATTCAATCGTAGAACAACAATATTTATGGCCTCCATCTTCGTGGTCAAGATATTTTATTTCATTATTACAAATCCTGTGTATTTTATATTTAACTTTCTAGAGTTATTATAAATGTAAAGCCATCTCATCCATTTTTCCCTTATCTACGTACGTACGTATGTAAATCTTGCAATCTTACCATTACATTAATATTTACATTAATCATGCTCAACATGCACGTGGCTTTCACCTTGTATCACGTGGTCTTCATGTGATTCTCAAATAGAAACATTGAAGATATAATAAACTTACACTGACATTACCAAAGGCAGCAAGAATCGGATGAATGGCGCGCTTTGAAAGCTGTTCAAAGGAAAGAAATGTATGTGAGAGCAAAAAGAACTTGTGTAAAAAACGAAACTGGGATTTTCTGTATAAATCAGACAATAGTGAAGGGCGAAGGGCGTGGTTCCAATTAGAGAGTGTGGAAATATTGGTGGTAGTTTCATGGGTAGGTCAGTGCAGAGCGTGGTCCCAATTAGACAGTATGAAAATAATGGTGGTTTCATTGGTAGAAGAGTAATAACAGTGTAGTGCATTGTCCCATTAGAGAGAAAGAAAATATATTGGTGGTTTCATGGGTAGGGTTAAATAACGATGCAGGGCGGTCCCATTAAACAGTATGAAAATATTGGCGGTGGTTTCACAGGTAGGGTTAAATAACAGTGTAGGGCGTTGCCCCATTAGAGAGTAAGAAATATTACTGGTGGTTTCATGGGTAGAGTAAAATAACGATGCAGGGCGTGGTCCAAATTAGAGAGTAAGAAAATATTGGCGGTGGTTTCACACGTAGGGTTTAATAACAGTGTAGGGCGTTGCCCCAATTAGGGTGTTTGTCCGAAAGTTTTGTTATGTTGCCGGTCGGTTATTTAAGATTGTTCATTTAAGATTTAAGATTGTCTATACGTATAACATAAACATTTTGTAGATGTGCAGAGCAAGAAATAACAAAACTTTCATTTAAGATTTAAGATTGTCTATACGTAAAACATAAACATTTTGTAGATGTGCAGAGCAAGAAATAACAAACCTTTCATTTAAGATTTAAGATTGTCCACATATAACATAAACATTTTGTAGATGTGCAGAGCAAGAAATAACAAACTCAATGTTTTGTCTTTGCACTTGACTCGCTTTATGTTCAAGTTCTTTCTGTCTTTCTTCCTTAAACAATTCAATGGCCTCCATGATTCTTTCAGCCTAATGAAGAGATAAGAGAACAAACATCAACATAGTAATCTCCAGGCGTATATTATATATTATACTTCAATATCCTCCAAGTATCCCAATCATACTGTATTATCTTCCAAGTATCTATATTCTACTATAATATCCTCCAAGTATCACAATCAAACTGTATTATCTTGCAAGTATCTGTATTCTACTATAATATCTCCAAGTACTCCATCTGAATGTAAGCTTAAACATTTGCCTCATATATGCACAGTCTTCACATGTCTTTGGTGTACTACAGTTTTCGATATATCTGTATGATTTTGAGGTATCTTTCAGGTACTATAGGGGGGACTGGGCACAAAACCAATAAAATTTACTTGCAATGCTAATACAACAACAAAACTAACTCCTTTGATCGTCTCGATAGTTTTCTTGCCAGCTTTAACAGCTTCTGTGTCTTGTTCACCTGGAATCTAAACAACATCATGGTTTAAATAAATGAATTTATTTAGTGCAATAAATGCAACTTCCACAAGATTTTTTCCATAGTGAAAGTATATAACAAATACAGAGTAGTTGGGCTCAAGATGGAACATATATATCTCATGTTACATAGTAAAAAGAATCTTACAATTGTTTCAACTCCTGTTACGGCGCTTTCTTCGTAAGCTGCTTCCCTCTCCTCAATAGAAAAATTAAAATAAACATTGAAAGTACAGGTACTATATGCATATTTTTGTAGCTCCAGCAACAGATCTATGTATAGTACCATTTCTCTCCTCTTCGACAAACAACGGTTCGTCCGTTCGTTCCCAAAGTCTTAATGATTTATCATGTGACCCACTGATCTATAAGATAAAATAAAATGCATGTGGAACTGGAGTGTTAAGAATAAGTGTTGATCTTTGAGTAAATGGTACTCTTATTGATAATAACGTTTTTCGTTTATTCTTTCATTCATATCAAGCAAACCTATGTTTAAAATTATCTAAAACCTTCCATACTTGACACACTTACAACAAACTCGCCGTCATGGCTGATTGCAAGACTCCATATTTCTGAATGATGATCTTCTAAGGTCGTAACATGAAGAAAAATCTGTCCGCGTCCCAATATTTATCGTTTTATCTTTACTTGCACTGAAGAAATAATGAGTTTTCGGCACGAACCGTACCATGACACTAAAGAAGATTAAAGCTATTACAATATAAATAACGAATATACATGTAGGTATTACTTATGTAATAAGTTGATAACATGAGAATATAAGGTATAAATAATGAAAGCACATGGTATTTAGGAAGGTAATATCGTTAACATGAGAATATATACATACAATGAAAGTACATGTAGGTATTACTAGGAATAATGTTGATAACATGAGAATATACAGTATACAATGAAAGTACATGTATTAATTAAGTATAATGTTGATAACATGAGAATATCAGATATACAATGAAAGTACATGTAGGTATTACTAGAAGGGTAATGTTGATAAACATGAGAATATAAAGTATACAATGAAAGTACATAGGTATTGTGGGGTGTAATGTTGATAACATGTGGGTAAAAAATGCAGCAAATCTATGTATAAAACAATTGAGGACGTTTGCTAGTATGTTATACGTATGAGGTATGGTGATGACGAAACAATGATAAACCAGGGTAAGAGGGTTTAATAGGTATAATGAAGATGTACATAGGATACGAGTGTATAGTAGGGATATAATCGACTGTTTCTATTCATATATTACTATCATAAAATTGCGTATCTGTCATTTAAAATTACATTGTACGTACCTGTCATCATGGGCGAATATTGATTTTCGACAATCACCAAAATCAAACCAAATCTTAATGTTCTTGTCAACGCCACCAGAAACGAGGAGAACGTTATCCTGTAAAAAATGAATCAAGGATGACAAAAATACGAATCCAAAGACAGAGAAAAGTTTCAAAAATAAAAACGACGCCATTGAAAAGCGTTCACTAATGCAAAGTGGTCAAGAGATGGACTGCTACACGCTCTACACTTTCACAACAGAGAATTGATAAAAATTTGCACGGTCATACGTAGTTGACATTATGTACGTCTTTTTCAAAGTTTCAAATTAATTTTCATTACATTCTCATAATCATCGCTCATTTAATAATTCCTTACTTTACGTCACAAACCTAAACTTCCTCGTTGGGGTTTAAAGCAACATTGAAGAAAAGCTTACCCAGCAAAATTTACATTCTTTGAACTGTCGCATAAGTTAATTATTAATATAAAATTTATGCATAATATAAAATTGATTCACATTGTAAATTTAATTCGAAAATATCTAATTCGAAAAGCTTTTGCGAAATGACTTATTTACAGCTTGTAGTAATGTATCTTTTGTGTATACGTATTTTTCTTCTATTTTATGTGGTAAAGTTCTTTCAACCAAAATAAAAACATATTATAAAACATGATATCAAAACAGAGTTGGAAGCCGTTCCTGTGAGCTTGAAAAACAGTATAATTTATGCGACAGCTAAAACGGATGTGACGTATACAAAATGTGCGTCCATGACGTAAGCTAAGGATTCTTCAAACACACCATACACGTTAAATGATACAGTCAAACGTGGATACTTTGAAACACACGTCATATGAATAAAACGTACCGTTGATATATCCATGGTAACAACAGGTAATTTATGACCATAGAGGGATAGGAAGAACTAAATAACGACGCGGGAAAAGTAACCACATTTAAAGAATGAATACAAAAGTAATTAGGATAAATGGACAGGAAAATGTTTATTTAGTTAAATTTTTGAGACTTCTGTAAATCAAATTATAACGTTGATGGAAAGCATAAATTAATCCAATGTTACGTAACTATTAAAGTCAAAATATCGCCTTCCTTTTACAAGAGTCGATTTTTTTAGTGAATTTTTTTTAGGAAAAGGAAACAGTTCTAACTCAAAGAGCATTTTTATCGTGATTCATAGAAAAACAAATGGGAGAATTTCGTACAAGGAGTCATCTTTAAAGTGATCTACAGCAACAAATGAAAATATTCTAACAACTGCTATCCAACATCAATCCATTATCCAGGATCATCAAATCTGCCTATAATACCATCAGCTGCTATCCAATATCATCAACTACGTACAAAAATATTTAAAAACTTACCTTCAATGTATCAGTGAAGAAAATTTTCATTGTAAAATCAAGCAAAGCCACGGCATAAACTTTTGGTTTGGACTGCAAAGAAGGTTGGCACGTGATTAAACGAAAGATCATAAGTACATAAACCCCCACAGTAACGAATATATCAACAACTAACCTGAACTTTACACACATTACGTCATCATTCATCTTTAATGTCCGTGCATGACAAATACTTAATCGTTGACTAAACAAAATAATACAAAATGAATCACCAATTGTACAACGAAAAAATAAACCAATTAGAAAATACTGAATCATACAATTAGAAAATGTTAAGCTGAGATAGAAAAACAAAAGCGGACGGTCACATTTAACCATTCTTTACAAACATCATGAAATGCACAAGAAAAACAAGAGAAAAACATTATTGTGACAAGCTTTAACAGAATTAGGTACATGAAGTTGTTTTGCTCCGACAGACAATGGACATTTTTCGTCTTAGAAAGATCACGTGTGAAAATCACGTTGAGTGCAAACGTTGCTTACATGCAAACTATTTAATACCTGCAGTTGAATAGTCATCCGTAATCAAATCAAATTCCCAAAATTTTACATCCTTGTCACCACTTCCTGAGGCGAATAGCGTCTAGAAATTGATGAAATTATCATTTCTAGATGTGCGTAGTCTAGAGATCCCTCTGAACAATTCACTGAAAGAATATATGAGGACGAGGGGGAGAGAAGTGAAGCATATGTCACTTCAAGGAGTTACAAAATGACAAGCAGAAGAATAACTTAAGTTTGCAAACAAAAAGAGCGCTGCTATTTCTGTTACAGAAATAATCGAAAGAAAGCATATTAAGAAGGGCATGGTATATACATAATATATTAATCCAAACACTCGTTTTAATATGCACATGAAAAACATGTGACTTGGACGAGATTTGAGCTGCACCTCGGGATACTAGTCCGCCGCTCCATCTGTTGAGCTACCAAGCCTACAGGAATTGGAGACGAGTCAAATCTCTTTTAAACTCCGTATGGACGAGATTCTCGCCACTATACAGTTTCTTACTGGATGGCACTGTGTTTCGACTTTATTCCAAAGCAAATCATCAGAGTATATATATAATATATTAATCCAAATTCTGTCTCCAATCCCTGTGGGCTTGGTAGATCAACAGGTAGATGGCGGACTAGTATCCCGAAGGTGCGAGTTCAAATTTCGTCCAAGTCACATGTTTTCTGCATACAAAACCGTAAGTTAGGATGAATAAATTATATATATTCTCTGATGATGGCTTTGAATAAAGTCAAAACACGGTGCCATCCAAAGTAAACTGTTATAGTGGCGAGAGTTCCTCGTCCATACATGGAGTTTAAAAGACATTTGACTCTGTCTCATCCCTTAGGCTTGGTAGCTCAACAGGTAGAGTGGCGGACTAGGAATCCCGACGGTACGAGTTCAGATCTCGTCAAGTCACATGTTTTCATGTGCATATTCAAACAGTAGAGATTAATATATTATAAAGGGCATGGGAGTCAACAAATTTTGTCAAAAATGTTGCTTTCCAACGACCACACCAAAATATGTTTTAAATGAAGCAAAGTTCACATTATCGGGAGCTAAACACAACGACCAAATAGCCCCATCGTGTGCGTCCACAGTTTAAAGCAATGAACCAGACGAACGTCAAATATTTGAGTTTGCCAGCCTGTAAAGGAAATTTAGAGGGTCAACATCTTACATTGGCTCACTACTTTATAAAGTCATCTTCACTGTTGTTGTATACTTTAGTACCAAAAGTAAGTCTGTCACATGACCTTACATTGTCTCACTACTTTATAAAAGTCATATTCACTAATACATAAATAAACACGGTCTCCCAAATGGCTTCCTGTGCCAGCTTCGCTTTTCGAGTCATGGCAACAGGCATCCGACCTTCCTAGAAATACAAACAAAGAAAAGCACCCAACGTTAGTATTTGACATTTATGAGCGTCACAACAATGTTGGTAGCAACTGAGGTTATATCATAAGATGTCTGTTGTTTTCGATGAATGCTGTGGGTGAATTAGTAACACCGCTGGACGCCGTGGTGAAGGTATCGCGTTTTCACACCAGTACCGATAAGTTGAGCCAATCTGTTGGGAAATGCATTTCAGTATCTAGAATGAAAACAATGACTTTAGGGAAACGTAAAAATATGCTGAGCGGAACGAGCATTTGAGCAACGAAAACGAGTTCAACAAGACGAACATAAACGTTAAATACATACGTAGAAAATATCTTCAAATAAAAAATATCTTGAGAAAAAACTTCATTTTCTTATGTATATTTATTACAGATGTACATTTGTGGATAATGATTCTCTGATGAAGGGTATGAAATACGGTCAACAAAGCACTTGAAAATGAAAGATTTAGCAATATCGTGAAGATAAGACTACAGACAAGACCTAGACTTTTTTCCCTTTGATGAAAAAAAACAATCGATCATATTTTCAGTCGTAGACACCAACCATAATATATAGCAAGATGATTCTCTACCTCGAGCCAAGACTTCCTGATGTAATTACCATCCGTTTGAGCGATGGTAAGAAGTGTCTGATCGTCTCCATGTTCTTCG